AGGCTGACGTTTCGGGCCTAGACCCTTCATCAGAAAAGGGGGAGGGGAAGGGGGTTTTGAAATAAATAGGGAGAGAGTGGGAGGCGGATAGAAGAGGGATAGAGGAGAGGATAGGTGGAGAGGAAACAAACAGGTCGAAGAGGCGGGGATGGAGCCAGGAAAGGTGAGTGTAGGTAGGGAGTTAGGAAGGGGATAGGTCAGTCCAGGGAGGACGGACAGGTCAAGGGGGCGGGATGAGGTTGGTCGGTAGGAGATGGAGGTGCGGCTTGAGGTGGGAGGAGGGGATAGGTGGGAGGAAGAACAGGTTAGGGAGGCAGGGACGAGCTGGACTGGTTTTGGGATGCGGTAGGGGGAGGGGAGATTTTGAAACTTGTGAAATCCACATTGATACCATTGGGCTGCAGGGTTCCCAAGCGGAATATGAGTTGCTGTTCCTGCAACCTTCGGGTGGCATCGTTGTGGCACTGCAGAAGGCCCAGGATGGACATGTCGTCTGAGGAATGGGAGGGGGAGTTGAAATGGTTCGCGACTGGGAGGTGCAGTTGTTTATTGCGAACCGAGCGTAGGTGTTCTGCAAAGCGGTCCCCGAGTCTCCGCTTGGTTTCCCCGATGTAGAGGAAGCCACACCGGGTACAGCGGATGCAGTATACCACATTGGCAGATGTGCAGGTGAACATCTGCTTGATGTGGAAAGTCTTCTTGGGGCCTGGGATGGGGGTGAGGGAGGAGGTATGGGGGCAGGTGTAGCACTTCCTGCGGTTGCAGGGAAAAGTGCCGGGTGTGGTGGAGCTGGAGGGGAGTGTGGAGCGGACAAGGGAGTCACGGAGAGAGTTGTCCCTCCGGAAAGCAGATAAGGGTGGGGAGGGAAAGATGTCTTTGGTGGTGGGGTCGGATTGCAGATGGCGGAAGTGTCGGAGGATGATGCGTTGGATCCAGAGGTTGGTGGGGTGGTACGTGAGGACGAGGGGGATTCTTTTTTGGTTCTTATTGCGTGGACGGGGTGTGAGGGATGAGGTGTGGGAGATGTGGGAGACACGGTTGAGGGCGGTCTCGACCACCGAGGAGGGGAAGTTACGGTCCTTGAAAAACGAGGACAACTGAGATGTACGGGAGTGGAATGCCTCATCCTGGGAGCAGATGCGGCGGAGGCGAAGGAATTGGGAATAGGGGATAGCATTTTTGCAGGAAGGTGGGTGGGAGGAGGAGTATTCTAGGTAGCTGTGGGAGTCGGTGGGCTTGAAATGAATATCGGTTTCTAGGTGGTTGCCCGATATGGAGACAGAGAGGTCCAGGAAGGGGAGAGAGGTGTTAGAGACGGTCCAGGTAAACTTAAGGTTGGGGTGGAAGGTGTTAGTGAAGTGTATGAACTGTTCGAGCTCCTCGTGGGAGCACGAGGCGGCGCCGATACAGTCATCAATGTAACGGAGGAAGAGGTGGGGTTTAGGGCCGGTGTAGGTACGGAAGAGGGATTGTTCCACGTAACCTACAAAGAGGCAGGCGTAGCTTGGGCCCATGCGGGTACCCATGGCTACCCCCTTTGTCTGTAGGAAGTGGGAGGAATTGAAAGAGAAGTTGTTGAGTGTGAGGACGAGTTCGGCTAAGCGGATGAGGGTATCAGTGGAGGGGGACTGGTCGGGCCTGCGGGACAGGAAGAAGCGGAGGGCCTTAAGGCCATCTGCATGGGGGATGCAGGTGTAGAGGGACTGGACGTCCATGGTAAAGATGAGGTGTTGGGGACCGGGGAATTGGAAGTTCTGGAGGAGGTGGAGGGCGTGGGTGGTGTCATGGACATAGGTAGGGAGTTCCTGGACCAAGGGGGAGAAAATGGAGTCCAGATAGTTGGAGATCAGTTCGGTGGGGCAGGAGCAGGCGGAGACAATGGGTCGTCAGGCTCACCAGTCTATAATTACCTGGATTATCCTTGCTACCCTTCCTAAACAGACCAAATGGCCTGATTCCACACTGTAGGGATTCTATGATTCTAGGACTTCTCCCTCTGTAACTTGCTCCCAGCTCCAAGCTGTTCAGCTACCCGAGAATAATTCACAATGTTGGCAGGCAAAAATATCTCTATCATTGATCTATGAACGAGTGACCAGTTATCAATCAGCTTCTTGTTGTCAACAAAACATGCATCTGTACACCCCCTTGGCTGCAAATCAATGCTTTAATTACTGCTTGTTCAAACAGCTGTTGTTATGATGCCTGGCATGGGTGTCAGGTCACTTGCTCTTTAAATCTGCAGCATCCTTGTCAAAACACTGGTTTTAAAACAGCTTTTTCTCATTTCAGTCCATATTTGTTTAAAAAACAACAAAAAGAAAGACACAGACCTTAGAATATTATGGTCTAGATTTTCTGGTCAGTGTAGATAGAGTGCACTTTGCTGGTGCTGCTATCCATTAAGAATTCTGTGCCACGACTATATTGCATTATTTTAGCTGGGCTATAGCAAGGATGGGTCAGCACAGCCACCCCTGTGGGAGATTCACAAATACAGTACGGTCAAAGAGAGGATTCATCCCCTATTTACACTAGTTGCTATATTCAGTTAAGATTTTCAAGGACTTAGTGAAAAGGTGGTTCAGAGAGAGGTGAAGTGTGGGTAGGGAAAGATTCAAGCTGGTATTTGGGCCAGGAACAGCAGTGGGGTCACTCAGTCAGTTTTACTGGCTCAGCACCAAGTAAGATCAGGTATTAACTATAGAAGAATCATTACAGTGTGGAGGAAGCAGGCCATTCAGCCCATCCAGTTCACACCAATCCCCTGAAGAGTATCCCACCCTCCTACCTTAGGACCTGAAACTTTGCATTTTACATGGCTAAGCCACGTAGCCTTCACATCCCTGGACACTATGGCAATTTAGAATGGCTAATCCACCTAATCTGCACATTTTTGGACTGTGGGAGGAAACCCATGCAGACACAGGGAGTACATGCAAACTCCACACAGGCAGCCACCCAAGGCTGGAATCGAACCCGGGTCCCTGGCACTGTTAGGCAGCAGAGCTAACCACTGAGCCACTGTGCCATCCTGTAATCAGCATAACATTTCTAGGGTAGGTATTCAGGTACCTGCTTAAGTCTTCTGTAACTGGCCCAATTTCTGACACTGAACTAATTTTCCAACGTCCCAAGCAAAGTAGGCCAAATTTTTACCACGTGCCCAAAAACTAAACCTATTACCATAAACAAGAGAGCTTTAGATTGTAAAAACAGAATAGTAGGCAGACATTAAATACAGGATTCATTTTATGATCCAAAAATTAAACCTACTTTAATACTGATGTTAAGTCAATTACTCAAATATTTCTAGCAATTGACATCTCCTTCTTACATACCTTCGCTACACATGGTGTACATTTCAAAATGTATAGAATCATGAAACAATAACTACTGTGGGAAGTCATTTGGCTCATCATACTCATGTCCCCTCTTGGGGCAAACAATTCAATTAATTCCACTCATTTGCTCTTTTGCCATTTAACTGTAAATGTTTTCCCCTTCAAATATTTATCCAATATATCCAACTTTCCATTAGAATGTTACGATTGAATCTGCTTCCAACACCCTTTCAGATAGCACATTCCAAATCATAACAATTCACTGCGTTTAAAAACAAAAAAGTTTCTTCATGCTGCTTTTGATTCTTTCATTGGTCACCTGAAAGCTGTCTTCAATGATAACTGATACTTCTATTACTGTAAATAGTTTTGTCTTCTTTACTCTATCAAAACTATAAGTTGACACTGTGGCTCAATGGTTAACTCTGCTGCCTCACAGCACCAGGGACCTCCGTTCGATTCCAACCTTGGGTGACTGTGTGGAGTTTGCACATTCTTCCGTTGGCTGTGTGGGTTTCCTACAACAATCCAAAGATGTGCAGGTTCGGTGGATTGGGACATGCAAAATAGGTGGATTAACCATGGTAAATGCAGGGTTACACAGATAGGGTGGGATGGCCAGATCTGGGTGGGACGTTCTTTGGCGGGTTGGTGCAGACTCAGTGGGCCAAATGGCCTCTTTCTGCACTGTAGGGATTCTATGGCTTCTATTAAAGCAGGCCCTTTTCTCACACCTGTTGAGGCAGATTTCAGAACAGGTCACATCATTCCCTCTGTTTATAATAATTTAGAGACATAGTCCCAAAATAAAGCTCTTATAAACCTCATATCTGTAACAAAGTGGATATTTAAATTGAGTAGCTTAAGTGAGAAAATATTAAAAGGTGGAAAAAATGCTAAATATAAGAAAACACATCCTTTTCAGCTCACAAACTTGCAGTCTTATACATACATAGTTCTTGCTGTCATACAACACAAAGGAATATAGAGCTACTGGTAGAAAGAGGATTTGCAAAGACACCAACACAAAACATTGGCAATCAGGAACATTCTTCTAGAAAAAGAATGCACCTTGTTGTCTCACACAATGGCTGATGGATGTCTTTAAAGTAAAGGGGTTGGTAAGGTGGATATAGGGAAAATGTATCCACCTACAAGCCTAAGATAGTTACTAGTAAATCCAATGTAACATAAAAAAAGAAATTGAACTTGGCTAGAACAACGAACAGTTGAGGCATACAGTATAAGTACACATGATGGAAGGTAGAGAAACACATAAGACAGAAGCTAATGGAATAATGAGTTGATGGGGTTAGATGAAGTAAGGTGGGAGCAGGCACAGGCGAAACACAACTACAAGCACGAATCCAAAGACCTCCTCTACTCTACACGCGATATCATTTTCACTATTTTGTTAAAAGCACAATCTATGAACTCAGTCCACCCTCAAGAAAGGACTCAATTCAAACGATTTGGGGAGCGGGTAGATGCTAAACAAGGAAAATAACTTTTCTTTAAAAAAAGCACGCAATAATTATAAGTCCTACAAACAGCTAATTTGCTATTTTACTGACACTTACAAATTATATCCTTGGTTACATGTCGCGGCGTTATCTGTCAGTCAGGCGACGCTGTGATTTCTGCTGCTGCTGGAACCTCCTCGTCAATGTTTGGGCCCCACGCGGACTCTCCCCGGTTACTAGGTAGCGGCCGTAACCAGGCAACGGCGCTTCCAACACAGAGCGCAGCCTCCAGGCTTGCAGCCATCTTCCAAACGACCACCGAGTACCAGCAAATCGCACGGACAGTACTCTCTGAGCACGGGGGAAGCAGGGACTTTTAACCTAAAGTCTTCTCATTCACAAGAAAAGGGACCCGCAAAAGTGACGAAGGTTCGCTGTAATCCGGCAAGAAGAGGGTGTGGTGGGATTAGGGGAACGAGGAACGGTGACCTTTGACTGGGGCGGCGCTGGGGACGCTGGGTATTGTATTGTTTTGGGTTGGGAGAGGGGGAGGGGAGACCTGTCAACTGGAGGGTGCAGTCTGGGGGATGGGGGGGAGGAAGCTGTGTACTATATGTGCTAGTGGGATTGTTGTCTTCTAGTCTAGTCCTTTGCTGCTTGAGTGTCCTTTTTTTACCTCTTCCCTGAAAAAAATAAAAAAATGTTCTGAGTGAAAAAGGAAAATAAAGAATGAAAGACAAAAGGAAAAAGAAGGACCGCACTTGGGCTGAGGCGGCCCGTTTGGTATGCTTTTTTTTCTTTTTCTTTTTAATCAAATCCCGGTCAGGTCAGTGCCAAGCGGATACAGCAACTGCTGTTGTCTGCCTAGGGCTTTGTTTACTGAGGATGCATCAACAAAACGGGTTCTTGTTTTGTAATCATCTATATTTCTTAAGACTTTTATAGGAATAATTTGAAGGTAATAAACTAATGTAGAACCCAGTAATATGTTAAAAGTTAGTTATATATCTGTAGTAAAGAATACAAACAATAAATTGTTGGTGATCTCAAAATCTTGTCCACAGTGTTTACCCTTGCTTACAATTTTAAAATATTGAACTGGATGACTAAAGAGCAACCAGTTTAGCTGGTAAGAACTGATCTTTCCTTACATGTTAGTTGCTTAATTTCCAATACTATAGTTACTTCTGTGAATATCTTGCTTGTATGTTGCCACACAAAATAACACATTTTCTCATGTCACTTAAGACTATTTCACTATCATCTCTTTGCATCACAAAAACTAAGGAATACAGCAGAGATAAAAAAAAGTTTTAAATCCAGGCAGTTAAAGATAGAAACAAATTTATGATGTCTTAAACATTATTCAACATTGTATCTAATTCAATACAACCACTAATGAAATGAATTTTAGTTGTTTTGTTGTAATTCCTGGTAGCCACCAGTACAAAGAGTTAGCATAATTTAGTATAAAATAGCAATCTTAGGACAGAAACATAACTCAAACGGAAAATTTAAAATTAGAGTAGCAATGTCCAGAAGTTGGGAGATAAATTGATTGTTGGTTGAAGTAGAGGCAGCTATTCTCTGAATCGGGCTGTTTGTGTCTGACCCAATAACACCTGGCACCCAGAAGTGATTGTCTATTCAGCAGGCCCCACATTATTTGCCTTTATAAACACACAAATTTTTCAGGCAAAAAATAATCTTCGATATTAGCTGTATGTTCCCAAGAGTTTAGTGTTGTGTGCGGATGTTGGATTGTAAAATTGCATATTGGATTTGTGAAGGATACTCAAGAAATAGTAACATTGGACTTCAACTTCTGCAGAAGTGAATTATCAAGCTTTGAATTTTAATTTTGTCACAATCATGTGATGAAATATAGGAAATAAATATATTCATATTTACAAAGCAATTCTGAAAGCAGATAGATTAATTGATGCTGTGGACTGAATCATTAGGTAAAACTGGAAAGCTCTGAGCATATTGTATAAAGCTCAAAGAACAGACCCAGTGAAGTGCAAAGAGATCAGGTTGAAATACAGTAACAGAGCAGTTGCCAGATTGGAAGCTGAAACTTTCCTCAATACGAGTTTAATTGATGTTCTTCGGTCGAGGGTTAAAGAATGCCATGAAGTTGCCAAAGAAATATTGAGACAAGCAAATGAGAATGTGAGACCATAGTGAGTGATAGATGAGCAAGCTTCAGAGTTACACTGACAACCGAGGGAGTGTCTTCCCAGGAAAAGGACAATGGGAGAAAGAGGTCAACGCTTTCATTCCTTTGAGTTTTTAAAATTTAAAATTCAAATGTCTTTAACATATCATTGGAGTGTAAATTATCTTTATTTTAGATGTGAAATGGCTGCAGTGTCAAAAGACTTCTGTGCATTCCAGAGTTTCCCCACCCCCATTTGTGAAAGCATTGCAGTCGGAAAACAACTATGGGCCTGTTTAGATCTGATTGAATACAAAGAAGTATACATTGAAAAATACGCATCTTTTTCAGATCCACATATGTGGGATGTAAGGTTACAATACAGTATTGGAGTGCAGTTAACTTTATGAATCGCTTGAATATCACTGTAACATTTATGAGGTGTAGATCTCTTAATAGTGCTGCAGACTTTAGAGACTAGAAAATTTATCTGTAGAGATTAGAAATTAGCATGTGGGCTGTTGGGGTATATTGTTCATTTTATGCCATTGTATGTGATGGTGGTCATTTTTGATGCTCAAAATACAATGCGTTATGTCTGACTTACCCCATGTTTAAACACTGGCTGGATACAATTATTGTTTTTTTAAGGTTTTGTAAAATAAGTAGGTAAGTTTGCAGTGAAATTAGCAAGTAAGTTCTCTAACAATGCTATTGACTATGATTACCTTTTCGATACGGCATCTGCTTCAGCATGATTCTAGCTCATGCTAGTGAGTTTATATTTAGGAAAAGTAGAATGTGAAGTCTGCCAATATAAGCATATATGCAAAACTCTGCTTGAAGTACCAATGATATTTTTAAAGTTAATGAAGAGTCAATTAATTCTTTATTATCATTAAAAACTAACAGATTGTCATTAAGTTTTTTTTAACATTTATTAAAAAAGTTAAAATAGATCAGATGACATATGGAAGCATATCACCATGTTCAAGAACCTCCAAACCAAATTACTAAGAAAACCACACAGGTCAGTTTTTGTCAATGTCATCCAGAGTGCATGCGCTCTTCCCTACTTGGATACAACTCACTTGCCAAAATCCATTCAATGAGTTACAACTTGGCAGAACTAAACAGTTGTACTGTTGGAATTTAACCAGCCAAAATTGCCTAATATACAAACATACAGAACACTAAATTATTATTTATAGTGTCTATTTAATTTGTCAGGAAACATTGAGATTCCAACTCACGTTCAAAATAAGGTGGGGCATTATTTAAATCCAGTATTGTAGATCTACAATGTGTTAATCAATGTATTTTGGTTATTTAAGAACTTCTACTAGCTACTTGTTCTGTTCTGTCTTTTGTCCCGACCATAGAAGCAACACGATATTTAGAACTTCTGGTTATAGCTGCAAATCAGATTGGCTATGCTATAAATTGTGAATTTCCCCAATGCTAAAATGCATATGTTCCAGTTTGAAATGCCTAGCCAACTATTCCTTTAATTTAATATTCAAGTTTTTAAGGAATGAAAATGAGATAAGTAGGTGGAGAGGTACAGATGTAGGGAAGCTTTGGACCTAGGGAACTAAAAACAGGGCCACCAGTGGTTGATCAATTAAAATTAGGAATGCTCAACAGGCGACAACTAGGAGAACACAAATATCTCAGAGTTGTGAGCTTTGAGGAGATTACAAAAATAGGGAGGTACCAGACCATGGAAGGATTTGAAAAAAGAATTGAAATTTTTAAAATAGTATTGTTGATCCAGGAGTCAATGTAGGTCGGCAAGCATAGGTGCAAAATGTGAAATGCATTTGGTGCAAATTAGGACATGGGCACCAGAACCTGGGATGATTTCATGAAGCGTGAATTGTGAGTGTCTGTCTAGGAATGCATTAGAATAGTCAAGTTTAGAAGTCATTCATTCATTTGGCGGTCCTCCGCAGATGAGGATAACTCTCTTCCACTGTCAGGATGAGTCCGTAGGTGGCTGTATAAACCGATGTGGCTTCTGCAGGCTCTATTACACTTGGGGCAAAAGGTGATCATGGGAAAGGTTGGGTGTGGTGTTGATATGGCAACGTGCCCCTTTGACTGTTTTCATCAGACCTGATGCCAAGTCTTCGGGTGCTCGCCACCGTTCTGGATGCTCCTCTCCATTTTGGATGGTCTTGGGCCAGTGATTCCGAGATGTCTGTGGCAATGCCGTACTTCACCAGTGACGCCTTGAAGGTATCACCGCACTTCCTCTGTCCACCTGGGGCTCGCCTGCCTTTTCGAAGCTGGGAGTAGAGCACCTGCTTGGGGAGTCTCGTGTCAGTCATGTGAGCGACATGCCCAGCCCATCATAGCCGTTCAAGGGTGGTCAGTGCCTCGATGCTGGGTATGTTGGCCTGGCTGAGGATGCCAGTGTCAGTTCATCTTTCTTCCCAGCCGATTTGCAGGATCTTGTGCAGGCAGCTCAAGACCCATTCCCTGTTATGGTTGGTGTCAAGCAGGCTGCATCATTGTCCCAACACAGTTCTTGATCTACTTCGCTGCAAAGCTTCACCTCATTGGTCTAAAAGTAACAAAGTAACATTGATAAGAGTTTCAGTAACATAAGATTTGAGTTATGGACAGGCATGAGTGATGTTGCATAGTGGGAAATAGGTAGTCTAAGTAACTGCAGATAATCTCATCTCAGGATTAAATATAACACAGAGATTGTGAGCAGTCTAGTTCAGCCTCAAACAGTAGCCAGTGGAAGAGACAGAATCAGTGATAAGGGAGTACAATTTGTGACAGAATCTATCAACAGTGGCTTCAGTGTTCCCACTATGAATGGAGTAAATTTCTGCCTCATCAGAATAGAATATCATATATGCAGTCTGACAATTTAGATAAGTGGAAGGGTCAGGAAAGGCAGTGGTGCAGTCGAGTTGGGTGTCATCAACTCTATATGGAAACTGACGTATCTTTTGATTGCGTCACCAAAGGGCAGTATGTGGGTATAAAATAGGAGAGGGCCAGGGATAGTGTTTGGCAGGTTAAGAGAAGCAATTATAACAGGAATATTGTCTGACAGAAGGTTGTGAGTCTTTGCAACACTGTTCCTCAAAAGACAGTGGAACAAAATCCGTGAAATTTTTTAAAGTAAATTCCTGATAAGCAAAGGTTTGAACAATTTTCAAGGTAGCTGGGAATGTGGAGTATTCAGATCAATTATTGACCTGACAGCATTTATAGAAAGAAAACAGTATTAATGTTTCTGAATAATGTTCTGAAGGGTCACACAACTTAAAACATTAGCTCTGTTTTCTCTCCA